CAGACTCTGTCTGCTATTTAGCATTGTGCCCGTCCGCAAGGAGAGTGTGCACGACACAGGGTTGTAAATTTCCAAAATTTTCCGGTAAACTTCCTAAAAATTCCCGGAAAATTTCCAAAGTCTGGGGAATTTTCCTTTTTTTTCGGGAAATCGTCCGTGTTTGCCCGAAATTTTCAAGAAATTGTCCGGAAACTGTCCAGGGTTTCCAATCCTAGGTAATATGTACTTTCTTGACGATACACGCAACACCACAAACTAAAATCTTATGAACTTTTTTTTTCATTGTGACTGAGTTCTGTAAACATGCTCGGCTTACGCCAGTATGCACAAATTTCTCCATACTGGCGCATTAAAAAATGCGTAAGTCGAGCATGTTTACAGAACTCAGTAACTCTGAACAAAAATATTCATAAGATTTTAGTGTGCAGAGCGAGAGAGACAAGAGTAGTGTGTACTCCCGCTATAGAGCTTCTATAAGGTCAGGGCTAGGAAGGCTGCTGTGCTGTGGGTGCGTGCCTTGGCAGAGCAGGTCAGTGGCGGAGCCAAAGCATGAGAGGGAGGGGGGGAGAGAGAGAGAGGAGAGAGAGAAAGGAGAGAGAGAGAGAGAGAGAGAGAGAGAGAGAGAGAGAGAGAGACCGAGAGACCGAGAGAGAAGGGGGAGGGGAGAGCTAGTCTAGTGGTTCGGAAAATGCCTTTCCCTCATCTGTCTCTCTCCCTCTCTCTCTCTCTGATTGCGACAGTAATGGTCGCATTGTGCACCTCTGCACCTCATACCTCATAACACCCATCGAGGAGTTCGCCCGCCCCGCTGTGACTCGGGTCAAGGTCGGCCGTTACCGGGAGAAAGTGGGTGGTAAGCGGGGAGGGGGGGGGGGGCATCATCTTATTCCTGCTCTTCTAAAGGTTCCGGACACCACTTGGTCGGCCCCTGAGCCGCACCTTACCTTACGTGCTCAAAACGGAACCTAAAATAACATCTCTGTGATTTTTTTTGCAAAAGCGAGCTTCCTCTGCTGTTCGGGGCGGGCGGCAACTGGACAACTCGGTTGCCAATTACAATTTTCTAGTATAACTAAACTCTTCCTCGTATTATCATTACGCGGTACAAGGAAAAAGTTTAGAAAATCGAAATAATTTCTTGATATTAGAACAGCACAAAATTTTAATAGTCACACGGCAAACTTTCTAGTCAAGTTTGATAGAGTGTAGGTTCTCAACGACTCGCCGGACGAGCCTGTCTAATCTCATCCTCAGCCTTTTTCCTCCTCACTCCCTCACTGCCAGACAACAATAGGGACCTTTCGGTTCATCCACCTTTTGTTGAACAGAGCACCCCCCTCATTGGCACCCGTCCCAGGGGCACACCCGCCCTTACAACGCTTTAGTACCCTGTGCCGTCCTGGTGGCCGCGCCCCAAAGGGTTCTCACCAAGGGATTTTGTCGGCTTTTGAACGCTGCTTCGATTAGGGTTGGAAGCCCTGGAAAGTTTCCGGAAAATGTCATCAGGAGTTCCTGGGAAAAAAACAAAAAATTTCCGGGAAAACAGAAAATTTTCTAGACTTTCGAAGTTTTTGATAGTTTCCGGAAATTTGCGGAAAATTTTCAAAAAATTTCCGGAAAATTGATTTTTAAAAATTTTGGAAGTTCCCAACCATAGCTTTGGTGATTAACTAAACTGATATTTATGTTTTTGCACGCACGTGAACATCAACCGAGGTTCATGAGATTGGAGATGAATATATTTGATGATGAAGTATTTTGCTCTTTCTAGAACCATTTAGTTGATATACCACTAAATCAGGGGTTGTAGGGAACAAAATTTAGTTCCTAAAACCGACTAAAATTTAGTAACCCAATTTTAACTAAATATGGTCGCACCAGAAAAATTAAGTCAGCTAGACTGAAGTATTTCGTCGCTACTGATAAATTTTGGTCTCCAGAGCTAAAATATCGGGGGTTTCAATTTGGTTCTCTGGACTAAACGGTCTTCTGCGTCTGGGTGAAGACTTTCAAATTTTAAAAATATTGCGTTACGTCATGTGAGTAACGCATAACTTGGATGCATTAAGTCGCGGACCCCCGGGGTTGCGGCCAGCGCACGGACACTAGAGCGACCCCCCTCCCCCCCTTCCTCCGCCTTCTCCCTCCTCCTCCCCTACTTCTCACCCGTTGCTAAAAATACTCGGCAGGACTTATTTCTGAAGCGTGGCGTAGCGTAGCGTCTGCGGGGAGGTGTGGTGGTATTGGTAGGATTGGGGCGGGGGTG